CAGTAACCCGGACATGGAATATATGAATATATATATATGAATTCCCTGCACATCCTCACAGTATTTGGGGACCCAACGCCTACAAAATCAGGGATCTTCCACATAATCATACAAAACATCAATATGCCTGGTCGAAGTGCAATCAATAAAAGCTTGCAGTCGTGGCACCACATCCCGAGGCACGGTTTTGGTGTTTGTTTGTAATTGTATTACCATAAAAATAAAAATTTTGTAAAAAGTACGATATGGCTGTGTCTCTCTGCACCAACGTACTAGAAAGTTGTGGCATGGCAGGAATTTGCCTGGACGGCAGCTACCGGCTGTCCTGCTGCGGGCCATAGCCATGATGCCGCTGCTATGTCGCTGAATCGACAATGTGGCGACTCGTCCGCTGTAGAAAGGACCAGTGAACGACACCGGAATTGTGGGTTCACGACCACGGGAAAGAATGTCAGCAACCCGCCCATTCATACGCCGCCGAATCACACACTGGGCTTCAACTTCGAGACGCGTAAGTAAATCAGTATATATTTGTGGATACATTTTAAAATATATCTTCCTTCACACAGCGTACCCATTTCACAAGATCAACCTGGCTCAATAATAGCAGAGAAAACTAAATATTTTTGATTGGGGAAAATGTCCTTTATCCTTGATCCATCAAATCAGGGGCATATCTCGGCTATTTATGGGCCGATCGGAGAGCGGCATGTCTTTTCGTGATCGGGCGAGTCCTGCCAATCAACTTCCACCGGAAAAAGGGACATCCATATTTTCACGATTTTCGCAAAAAATCTTGATGGTTAGTTACATCATTAAAATTGCCAAAAATCAGCCTCATTTTCGAAGTCGAGATTTTGATGCCGTTTGACCCTCTGGATCCCCACGGTCCTGGGAAAGTAGGTCCCACACCGATCTGGCCCTTTTAGTCTGAGATATAGCCTACCGAAGATTTGGATTTGCGTATCTTTGAAATACTAGTTTCTTCTGTATGCTATATCTCTGCGATACGGCAGCCGATCTGGGCGTGGCATGTCTTTTCGTGACCGGGCGAGTCCTGCCAATCGACTGCCATTGGAAAAAGGGACATCCATATTTTCACGATTTTCGCAAAAAATCATGATGGTTACATCATTAAAATTGCCAAAAATCAGCCTCATTTTCGAAGTCGAGATTTTGATGCCGTTTGACGCTCTGGGTCCCCACGGTCCTGGGAAAGTAGGTCCCACACCGATCTGGCCCTTTTAGTCTGAGATATAGCCTACCGAAGATTTGGATTTGCGTATCTTTAAAATACTGGTTTCTTCTGTATGCTATATCTCTGCGATACGGCAGCCGATCTGGGCGTGGCATGTCTTTTCGTGACCGGGCGAGTCCTGCCAATCGACTGCCATTGGAAAAAGGGACATCCATATTTTCACGATTTTCGCAAAAAATCATGATGGTTACATCATTAAAATTGCCAAAAATCGGCCTCATTTTCGAGGTCGAGATTTTGATGCCGTTTGACCCTCTGGATCCCCACGGTCCTGGGAAAGTAGGTCCCACACCGATCTGGCCCTTTTAGTCTGAGATATAGCCTACCGAAGATTTGGATTTGCGTATCTTTGAAATACTGGTTTCTTCTGTATGCTATATCTCTGCGATACGGCAGCCGATCTGGGCGTGGCATGTCTTTTCGTGACCGGGCGAGTCCTGCCAATCGACTGCCATTGGAAAAAGGGACATCCATATTTTCACGATTTTCGCAAAAAATCATGATGGTTACATCATTAAAATTGCCAAAAATCGGCCTCATTTTCGAGGTCGAGATTTTGATGCCGTTTGACGCTCTGGATCCCCACGGTCCTGGGAAAGTAGGTCCCACACCGATCTGGCCCTTTTAGTCTGAGATATAGCCTACCGAAGATTTGGATTTGCGTATCTTTGAAATACTGGTTTCTTCTGTATGCTATATCTCTGCAATACGGCAGCCGATCGGAGAGCGGCATGCCTTTTCGTGATCGGGCGAGTCCTGCCAATCAACTTCCACCGGAAAAAGGGACATCCATATTTTCACGATTTTCGCAAAAAATCATGATGGTTACATCATTAAAATTGCCAAAAATCAGCCTCATTTTCGAAGTCGAGATTTTGATGCCGTTTGACTTTCTGGATCCCCACGGTCCTGGGAAAGTAGGTCCCACACCGATCTGGCCCTTTTAGTCTGAGATATAGCCTACCGAAGATTTGGATTTGCGTATCTTTGAAATACTGGTTTCTTCTGTATGCTATATCTCTGCGATACGGCAGCCGATCTGGGCGTGGCATGTCTTTTCGTGACCGGGCGAGTCCTGCCAATCGACTGCCATTGGAAAAAGGGACATCCATATTTTCACGATTTTCGCAAAAAATCATGATGGTTACATCATTAAAATTGCCAAAAATCAGCCTCATTTTCGAAGTCGAGATTTTGATGCCGTTTGACTTTCTGGATCCCCACGGTCCTGGGAAAGTAGGTCCCACACCGATCTGGCCCTTTTAGTCTGAGATATAGCCTACCGAAGATTTGGATTTGCGTATCTTTGAAATACTGGTTTCTTCTGTATGCTATATCTCTGCGATACGGCAGCCGATCTGGGCGTGGCATGTCTTTTCGTGACCGGGCGAGTCCTGCCAATCGACTGCCATTGGAAAAAGGGACATCCATATTTTCACGATTTTCGCAAAAAATCATGATGGTTACATCATTAAAATTGCCAAAAATCAGCCTCATTTTCGAAGTCGAGATTTTGATGCCGTTTGACTTTCTGGATCCCCACGGTCCTGGGAAAGTAGGTCCCACACCGATCTGGCCCTTTTAGTCTGAGATATAGCCTACCGAAGATTTGGATTTGCGTATCTTTAAAATACTGGTTTCTTCTGTATGCTATATCTCTGCGATACGACAGCCGATCGGAGAGCGCCATGTCTTTTCGTGATCGGGAGAAGATTTGAATTGGCGTATCTGTAAAATACTGTTACTTTATTTTATTCTTCCTTTCATTTTAGCAGGTCGCACCCTTCCGTACCTAGAAATACCTCCTGCGTACCCTGCCTACCTACCTACCTGCCTACCATTGTTTCCCAGGGGCATCACCCTTTTGGTCTTCTGGTAACATAGGGGATCCTGCGCACGGGGCCACGATGCCCGATGCCGGTTCCTGTCGCGCGATGCTGAGGCTTTTGGCCTGGCCGACCTTGGGTCCGGCCACTGCCAAGGCCCTCTTCCTTGCTTTTCACGCTGTTTGGTGGCATTGGCTGTCCCGGTGTGCGCCATAGTCCTGATGCCGCTGCTGAGTCGATAATATGGCGTTCCGTCCGCTGGATCCCGCCCACGAGAAATAATGTCAGCAACCCACCCATTCGAAACGCGTAAGTGAATCATTATATAACTGTGGATGTATTTTAAAATATTTATTTTTTCATAGAGGACTTATGTACCCTACGATTGAGGCCACAAAACGAGTCATATCCGATTTCGCCCCGCCAGACGGAGTCCTATCCAAGCATTACCGAGGCGTACTCCAGACAGACTCCAGTCCTAACCCAGCCAGACAGAATCATATCACAGCAGGACAGAAGCGCACCCCTGCAAGATCCTAACCTAACAAGCCATCGTCATCCTTCGACCTGGCCATCGACAACAAGGACTTTGACTAGGTCAATCCAGGGAGGGACTACTCCTGCTACTGGACTCAAGATAGAGATCGTTGCTGTTAGGTTTAAGGATATACGCGTATATGTATATATTTATATTGTAGATACAAATTTGATCCACTTATTAAGTTATTCTAAGCTAAGTTTTGATGAATAAAACTATTGAAAAATCATCCTTGCTTTATTCCTTATGGGGGAAACTATTCCGACTGCAGGCGTGGCACGCCCAGACCTTTTCACAAATAGCGGAGAAAACTAAATATTGTTAATTGGGGAAAATGTCCTTGATCCTTGATAAGGACTCCATCAAATCAGGCACATTTTTTCGATCACAGGAAGCCATCGCACGCCCAGATCGGCCAACAAATAGCCGAGAAAACTAAGTAGGTTAGGTTGGGCTTGTTGTAGTCCTTACTGAAGAATCAAGGACATTTTTCTGATCACGGGGGGCGGATCTGTAATATATGTCTGGAGAAAGTATCCTTGATCCTTGATAAGGACTTCATCAGGTCAAGGATGCTATTCCGAACATAAGAAGCCATCGCACGTCTCGATTGGATAACCAATGATGAATTTATGCCATAAACAACAAATTACAACAACTACATCCAGTTATTACAACAATAACAACTTCTAATTTGGTGGCGCTCGAAACCGAGATTTTTCGATTTTCAGATCTGGGATACCAGGCGAACAGAAATCAGCAGAAGGTCGCTCGATTTTCTTAACCCCCAAAAGTATGCAACGATTTTTAAATAGCTAAAGTTGCTTGCTGCTGATTTATGTTCGCCTGGTATTCTAGATCTAAAATTCTCGTTTTTGGCCATTTGAGCGGTCGCAAGTTGAGGGTTGTTGTACAACAACAACAATTTATTTTATTGTTTTCTCCGTTCTCCGTTCTCCGTCTCCGCCCGATCGGGACGTGCGACGGCTTCCTGTGATCGGTATAATATTCTTGATTTGTTGGAGCCCTTGTGAAGGACCAAGGATCAGGGATATTTTCTCCAGACATATATATCTTGTTTTCTACCTTATTTGTGGCCCGATCAGGGCCTTCCGTTATCAGAAAAATATCCTTGATCCTTCAGTAAGGACTACAACAAGCCCAACCACACCTATTTAGTTTTCTCGGCTATTTATTGGCCGATCTGGGCGTGCGATTGCTTCCTGTGATCGAAAAAATGTGCCTGATTTGATAGAGTCCTCATCAAGGATCAAGGACATTTTCCCCAATTAACAATATTTAGTTTTCTCTCTGAAAAGATCTGGGCGTGCCACGCCTGCAGTCGGAATAGTTTCCCCCATAAGGAATAAAGCAAGGATGATTTTTCAATAGTTTTATTCATCAAAACTTAGCTTAGAATAACTTAATAAGTGGATCAAATTTGTATCTACAATATAAATATATACATATACGCGTATATCCTTAAACCTAACAGCAACGATCTCTATCTTGAGTCCAGTAGCAGGAGTAGTCCCTCCCTGGATTGACCTAGTCAAAGTCCTTGTTGTCGATGGCCAGGTCGAAGGATGACGATGGCTTGTTAGGTTAGGATCTTGCAGGGGTGCGCTTCTGTCCTGCTGTGATATGATTCTGTCTGGCTGGGTTAGGACTGGAGTCTGTCTGGAGTACGCCTCGGTAATGCTTGGATAGGACTCCGTCTGGCGGGGCGAAATCGGATATGACTCGTTTTGTGGCCTCAATCGTAGGGTACATAAGTCCTCTATGAAAAAATAAATATTTTAAAATACATCCACAGTTATATAATGATTCACTTACGCGTTTCGAATGGGTGGGTTGCTGACATTATTTCTCGTGGGCGGGATCCAGCGGACGGAACGCCATATTGTCGACTCAGCAGCGGCATCAGGACTATGGCGCACACCGGGACAGCCAATGCCACCAAACAGCGTGAAAAGCAAGGATGAGGGCCTTGGCAGTGGCCGGACCCAAGGTCGGCCAGGCCAAAAGCCTCAGCATCGCGCGACAGGAACCGGCATCGGGCATCGTGGCCCCGTGCGCAGGATCCCCTATGTTACCAGAAGACCAAAAGGGTGATGCCCCTGGGAAACAATGGTAGGCAGGTAGGTAGGTAGGCAGGGTACGCAGGAGGTATTTCTAGGTACGGAAGGGTGCGACCTGCTAAAATGAAAGGAAGAATAAAATAAAGTAACAGTATTTTACAGATACGCCAATTCAAATCTTCTCCCGATCACGAAAAGACATGCCGCTCTCCGATCGGCTGCCGTATTGCAGAGATATAGCATACAGAAGAAACCAGTATTTTAAAGATACGCAAATCCAAATCTTCGGTAGGCTATATCTCAGTCTAATAAGGCCAGATCGGTGTGGGACCTACTTTCCCAGGTCCGTGGGGATCCAGAGGGTCAAACGGCATCAAAATCTCGACTGTGAAAATGAGGCCGATTTTTGGCAATTTTAATGATGTAACCATCATGATTTTTTGCGAAAATCGTGAAAATATGGATGTCTCTTTTTCCGGTGGATGTCGATTGGCAGGACTCGCCCGATCACGAAAAGGCATGCCACGCCCAGATCGGCTGCCGTATCGCAGAGATATAACATACAGAAGAAACCAGTATTTTAAAGATACGCAAATCCAAATCTTCGGTAGGCTATATCTCAGACTAAAAGGGCCAGATCGATGTGGGACCCACTCTCCCAGGATCGTGGGGATCCAGAAAGTCAAACGGCATCAAAATCTCGACTTCGAAAATGAGGCTGATTTTTGGCAATTTTAATGATGTAACCATCATGATTTTTTGCGAAAATCGTGAAAATATGGATGTCCCTTTTTCCAATGGCAGTCGATTGGCAGGACTCGCCCGGTCACGAAAAGACATGCCACGCCCAGATCGGCTGCCGTATCGCAGAGATATAGCATACAGAAGAAACCAGTATTTTAAAGATACGCAAATCCAAATCTTCGGTAGGCTATATCTTAGACTAAAAGGGCCAGATCGATGTGGGACCCACTCTCCCAGGATCGTGGGGATCCAGAAAGTCAAACGGCATCAAAATCTCGACTTCGAAAATGAGGCTGATTTTTGGCAATTTTAATGATGTAACCATCATGATTTTTTGCGAAAATCGTGAAAATATGGATGTCCCTTTTTCCGGTGGAAGTTGATTGGCAGGACTCGCCCGATCACGAAAAGGCATGCCGCTCTCCGATCGTCTGCCGTATTGCAGAGATATAGCATACAGAAGAAACCAGTATTTTAAAGATACGCAAATCTAAATCTTCGGTAGGCTATATCTCAGACTGAAAGGGCCAGATCGGTGTGGGACCCACTCTCCCAGGATTGTGGGGATCCAGAGAGTCAAACGGCATCAAAATCTCGACTTCGAACATGAGGCCGATTTTTGGCAATTTTAATGATGTAACCATCATGATTTTTTGCGAAAATCGTGAAAATATGGATGTCTCTTTTTCCGGTGGATGTCGATTGGCAGGACTCGCCCGATCACGAAAAGGCATGCCACGCCCAGATCGGCTGCCGTATCGCAGAGATATAACATACAGAAGAAACCAGTATTTTAAAGATACGCAAATCCAAATCTTCGGTAGGCTATATCTCAGACTAAAGGGGCCAGATCGGTGTGGGACCCACTCTCCCAGGATCGTGGGGATCCAGAAAGTCAAACGGCATCAAAATCTCGACTTCGAAAATGAGGCTGATTTTTGGCAATTTTAATGATGTAACCATCATGATTTTTTGCGAAAATCGTGAAAATATGGATGTCCCTTTTTCCAATGGCAGTCGATTGGCAGGACTCGCCCGGTCACGAAAAGACATGCCACGCCCAGATCGGCTGCCGTATCGCAGAGATATAGCATACAGAAGAAACCAGTATTTCAAAGATACGCAAATCCAAATCTTCGGTAGGCTATATCTCAGACTAAAAGGGCCAGATCGGTGTGGGACCCACTCTCCCAGGATTGTGGGGATCCAGAGAGTCAAACGGCATCAAAATCTCGACTTCGAACATGAGGCCGATTTTTGGCAATTTTAATGATGTAACCATCATGATTTTTTGCGAAAATCGTGAAAATATGAATGTCCCTTTTTCCAATGGCAGTCGATTGGCAGGACTCGCCCGGTCACGAAAAGACATGCCACGCCCAGATCGGCTGCCGTATCGCAGAGATATAGCATACAGAAGAAACCAGTATTTTAAAGATACGCAAATCCAAATCTTCGGTAGGCTATATCTCAGACTAAAAGGGCCAGATCGGTGTGGGACCTACTTTCCCAGGACCGTGGGGATCTCGAGGGTCAAACGGCATCAAAATCTCGACTTCGAACATGAGGCCGATTTTTGGCAATTTTAATGATGTAACCATCATGATTTTTTGCGAAAATCGTGAAAAGATGGATGTCCCTTTTTCCGGTGGAAGTTGATTGGCAGGACTCGCCCGATCACGAAAAGGCATGCCGCTCTCCGATCGTCTGCCGTATTGCAGAGATATAGCATACAGAAGAAACCAGTATTTTAAAGATACGCAAATCTAAATCTTCGGTAGGCTATATCTCAGTCTAATAAGGCCAGATCGGTGTAGGACCCACTCTCCCAGGATTGTGGGGATCCAGAGAGTCAAACGGCATCAAAATCTCGACTTCGAACATGAGGCCGATTTTTGGCAATTTTAATGATGTAACCATCATGATTTTTTGCGAAAATCGTGAAAAGATGGATGTCCCTTTTTCCGGTGGAAGTTGATTGGCAGGACTCGCCCGATCACGAAAAGGCATGCCGCTCTCCGATCGTCTGCCGTATTGCAGAGATATAGCATACAGAAGAAACCAGTATTTTAAAGATACGCAAATCTAAATCTTCGGTAGGCTATATCTCAGTCTAATAAGGCCAGATCGGTGTAGGACCCACTCTCCCAGGATTGTGGGGATCCAGAGAGTCAAACGGCATCAAAATCTCGACTTCGAACATGAGGCCGATTTTTGGCAATTTTAATGATGTAACCATCATGATTTTTTGCGAAAATCGTGAAAATATGGATGTCCCTTTTTCCAATGGCAGTCGATTGGCAGGACTCGCCCGGTCACGAAAAGACATGCCACGCCCAGATCGGCTGCCGTATCGCAGAGATATAGCATACAGAAGAAACCAGTATTTTAAAGATACGCAAATCCAAATCTTCGGTATGCCATATCTCAGACTAAAAGGGCCAGATCGGTGTGGGACCTACTTTCCCAGGTTCGTGGGGATCCAGAGAGTCAAACGGCATCAAAATCTCGACTTCGAACATGAGGCCGATTTTTGGCAATTTTAATGATGTAACCATCATGATTTTTTGCGAAAATCGTGAAAATATGGATGTCCCTTTTTCCGGTGGAAGTTGATTGGCAGGACTCGCCCGGTCACGAAAAGACATGCCACGCCCAGATCGGCTGCCGTATCGCAGAGATATAGCATACAGAAGAAACCAGTATTTCAAAGATACGCAAATCGAAATCTTCGGTAGGCTATATCTCAGACTAAAAGGGCCAGATCGATGTGGGACCCACTCTCCCAGGATCGTGGGGATCCAGAAAGTCAAACGGCATCAAAATCTCGACTTCGAAAATGAGGCTGATTTTTGGCAATTTTAATGATGTAACCATCATGATTTTTTGCGAAAATCGTGAAAATATGGATGTCCCTTTTTCCAATGGCAGTCGATTGGCAGGACTCGCCCGGTCACGAAAAGACATGCCACGCCCAGATCGGCTGCCGTATCGCAGAGATATAGCATACAGAAGAAACCAGTATTTCAAAGATACGCAAATCCAAATCTTCGGTAGGCTATATCTCAGACTAAAAGGGCCAGATCGGTGTGGGACCTACTTTCCCAGGACCGTGGGGATCCAGAGCGTCAAACGGCATCAAAATCTCGACCTCGAAAATGAGGCCGATTTTTGGCAATTTTAATGATGTAACCATCATGATTTTTTGCGAAAATCGTGAAAATATGGATGTCCCTTTTTCCAATGGCAGTCGATTGGCAGGACTCGCCCGGTCACGAAAAGACATGCCACGCCCAGATCGGCTGCCGTATCGCAGAGATATAGCATACAGAAGAAACCAGTATTTTAAAGATACGCAAATCCAAATCTTCGGTAGGCTATATCTCAGACTAAAAGGGCCAGATCGATGTGGGACCCACTCTCCCAGGATCGTGGGGATCCAGAAAGTCAAACGGCATCAAAATCTCGACTTCGAAAATGAGGCTGATTTTTGGCAATTTTAATGATGTAACCATCATGATTTTTTGCGAAAATCGTGAAAATATGGATGTCCCTTTTTCCAATGGCAGTCGATTGGCAGGACTCGCCCGGTCACGAAAAGACATGCCACGCCCAGATCGGCTGCCGTATCGCAGAGATATAGCATACAGAAGAAACCAGTATTTTAAAGATACGCAAATCCAAATCTTCGGTAGGCTATATCTTAGACTAAAAGGGCCAGATCGATGTGGGACCCACTCTCCCAGGATCGTGGGGATCCAGAAAGTCAAACGGCATCAAAATCTCGACTTCGAAAATGAGGCTGATTTTTGGCAATTTTAATGATGTAACCATCATGATTTTTTGCGAAAATCGTGAAAATATGGATGTCCCTTTTTCCGGTGGAAGTTGATTGGCAGGACTCGCCCGATCACGAAAAGGCATGCCGCTCTCCGATCGGCTGCCGTATTGCAGAGATATAGCATACAGAAGAAACCAGTATTTCAAAGATACGCAAATCGAAATCTTCGGTAGGCTATATCTCAGACTAAAAGGGCCAGATCGATGTGGGACCCACTCTCCCAGGATCGTGGGGATCCAGAAAGTCAAACGGCATCAAAATCTCGACTTCGAAAATGAGGCTGATTTTTGGCAATTTTAATGATGTAACCATCATGATTTTTTGCGAAAATCGTGAAAATATGGATGTCCCTTTTTCCGGTGGAAGTTGATTGG